TTCCTTTTGTTTTCTAATTGCACCTTTAGATTCATTAACTATTTCTTTTGGGATTTTTAGTATCATTATTCAGTTTATGTAATTAATCTTGGGGCTAATATATTTTGTATTCACTATTATTATGTAAATTTACGTAGCTATGTAGCATTACAATAAGTTCTTGTTTAGTTATATTTTGGGCGTGTTACAGACAGAGTTAGTTTTTGAGTTGGAGTTGGAGTTGAAGTTGGAAATGGAATTCGGTTAAGAGCGATTAGGTTAAGTTTTGATATTTTAAAATGGCTTTGAAAAAGCAAACATTTTACAACATACTTAAAGCTTTTTCGTCTGACACTCCTCAGAGCATAAAACGTCAGAATAGGTTCCGAAAAAACACGTTTGAAAAATATATACCCAGTTGTGGATCGAAATAGGCCAATCAGAAAAACGCAAGTTGACCAATCAGTGCCGCGAGCCTAAAGAAAATTACCAATGGAGTCCAAGAGAGAAAACGAACTCCTTTTGTCTACACAATGGCGGCTTTTTCGTTTTTATGTAGATTGACTTGTTCCTTCATGTTCCTTCCAACATACGAAACAAAACTGCCCCTCAAAGAGAACAGCCTCCTCGATCTTGTAGGTCTAGAAACACTGTTAAAACAAGTGATTCTGCCATTGGTCAACATCTTTTAGACAACCCAGATTGTGCAAGACTCTATAATGACGACTTGTTTCGGATAATTGGCAGAGCCCGGTCGTCCTTCCATCTAGCAGTTTTGGAGTCAATCTACATAAAAACGAAAAAGCCGCCATTGTGTAGACAAAAGGAGTTCGTTTTCTCTCTTGGACTCCATTGGTAATTTTTCTTTAGGCTCGCGGCACTGATTGGTCAATTATACCGGTCTTGTGCTTGCGTTTTTCTGATTGGCCTATTTCGATCCACAACTGGGTATATATTTTCCATCGTGTTCTTTCGGAACCTTATTCTGACGTTTTTGCTCTGAGGAGTGTCAGACGAAAAAGCTTTTAGTATGTCGTAAAATGTTTGCTTTTTTCAAAGCCATTTTCAAATTCTGTACCGCAAAAAATTGTTCACATTTTTGATATTTTGTATATTTAGGTTCTCGACGTTTCACTTATGTGGCAAGATGCTTGTGAAAGATCTTGTCGACATGAAGTATGGATTTATAGAATACGTATTTGGATTTATGGAATCGCGCGTGATGCTTTACTGATTGTGCATTAATATAGTATAGTTTGAACGGACAGTGCTTGTGAAAGACTCAGGGGCGAAACTTCACTATTTTTATTAGGGGGGTATGAAGCTTGGATGCCCGACGAAAGGGCGTGGCATGCTTGATGAAAGGGTGTCTCATACATGAACTTCATTTTTAGAGCACATCGCCTCAAGGGCTGAAATCATCGGGAAGCCCGAGAGAGGGTCTTTAGACTCAGGCTGTTTGTTTAAAGTCAAGAAATATGCCTCTAGTTTTTCTGGTGTTGGCTATAAACATTTGTTTCCGAAAAGCAAGCATTTGTAAGGCCTGTCTTTTCTATAAGATAGTCTTCACTTTCTAAATCACCTAGCTATTAAAAGAGCAATTCAAAAAAGGGGATTGAGGTAGGGTCTCAATTTTATCAAAGTGGAACACCAAAACAAAACACGGAATTTAGAAACAGCTACGCAGATGACATTGTTTCAACAAAAAAGAGCTTCAGTTGCATTTTCTAAATTTCATTTTCAATTTTCGGTTGCTCCGGAAGCAATTTCAACATTATTAGACGCCCAAGCACAAAGTACGTATCACTAAATTCACCAAAACAAAATCCCTCAAGCAAAGGAAAGTTTTTATTGGAGGTATTTTACAGGTACTCCTATCATTAAAGCTCAATTTTTGTGTTTTCGTAATCATGGATAATGTTCAGAAATAGAATAAACTCGAAAGTTTTTTGCAATTTAAATCTTAGCTACATACAATTTCTTGATAAATTTTATATTATTTCCAGCTTGAACTGATTAAAACTTTCTGTTACTTGTTACGGTTATTCGAATTTCTTTAGTTAAAATACTTTGGCGTCTGTATGACCATTTTCTAGCGAAGGGTGCAATACTTTCGAACTGTAAATGTAAAACTTTAAGATAATTTTGGGGCATAACTCCTTATGAATGTATGATGAATGTTTCATACATTTTGAAAAGAAAGTATTGAATGACTTTTCTCAACAAAGTATTCCGAGATGGTATATCCTTCATGCTTTGATTTATGATGCTTCTAAAACTGTCAGTGTTCCATGGGCTCCGAGGCAGAATGGAATCACAGCAAAAGATTTTGAAAAAAGCTCTCTGTTTTGCAAAAAGTAGGGGGGAGGGGTATGCACAGTGTTCATTTCCTTCTCGCATCAAACACACTTTACTTTCCGTCTATACTTTCGCTGTCGATCAATACTTCAGACTTCATCTCGAGACGAAGATAAACATATGCGCGTCGAGCTCTAAACGAAAGCGCTGATCAGTGGACGGACGAAAGACAGAAATGTATATATGTTGCTATTCCTAGTCTCGTTTCTGTTTTGTTTTCCCAACTGGGAGGAGATTGAAAAAAAGATGGGGGAAAAGACCACAAATTCAAAAACCAAGCTAGGGCAAAAAGTAGCAATAAAAGTCCGACCTAAAGAAAATCTCCAGATTTGCCCGACAGATACACTGGTAGCCATAAATTTGCCCGACAAAATCTGCTTTTTTTAAGATTGGGGGGGTGCAGCACCCCCCATACCCCCCCAGTAGTTTCGCCCCTGGAAAGACTGTGCCTGTTAGAGAAACATTGTGAAGTTTATAACCTTTCGCGGAAAGATCACATGATCGGAAGATGGACGTTTGAAACATTATTTATTTGTCTCTTTGTCTCAATTCTCATTGAAGGACTAGTTTATATCGACGGTAACGATAGGGTGGATGAATTCGTTTTGACAAAAAATAACCCTATTACAGGTTTGTTGAGATTGGGCTGGATGGGTTTTGCCTGGATAGGGTTGGACCGGACAGGGTTGGCTGGATGGGGTTTGACTGGATAGGGTTGGGCTGGACAGGGTTGGCTGGATTGGGTTGGCTGGATTGGGTTGGCTGGATTTGGTTGGCTGGATGGGGTTTGACTGGATAGGGTTGGGCTGGACGGGGTTGGCTGGGTTGGGTTGGCCGGGGGGTTACTTGGATACCAAAACGACGGGGTGTGCACTCCTAAAATTGTTTTGGTGAACCGGCTTTAGAAAAAAAAGCTAAAAATCACACCCGGCTTTAGAATTTCTGGTAAAAAGAACAAAGGAAAACAAAAGCTTTGGTGCCAGTTGCCATGGTTGCCGAAACACCACAAAACAATGGGCGGGCAGCCTTTTTGCTGTTATTTTTGAATAGAAAAAAAACGAAAATCAGGCAACCGGCTTTAGATTATATCCTTTGAACAGATACCCAGCCTTAGAATAAATTGCTGAAAATGATACCCAGAAATACGTGCACATCCTGTCAGCAAAATATGTGTTGGGCTAGAATACCTCTAAAGAATTATTCACTCTATAATGTGCATCTTTTGGTATTGCTAATCTGAGTTTAAGCTCCAGGCTTATCTTGGAAGAGGGAATCGACACGAGAAAATTACTTATAATGCTCCTATTTCAAATTTTCAATAATACCACCTCGCTATTTAGCTTGCTACGACAAAATAATCGAAAACAACCAAGCATACACTAGTGAAAAGTATGCTTTCTATATTTTTGCCTCGCTTAAAATATGGGTTGTCAGGTCTAAGACCCCGTTTACACTGTGCCGGATAAAATTTATCCGCATAAAACTTGTTAGGATTGATTTGCGTTTACACTGTGTCTACTTTGCCCTCCCGTTAACACTGTGCCGGATAACTGCAGTCACATGACCTAAATCATGCACAGAACGCCCAAAATAAAGTTTTCTCTGGGCAACAAAATAATAAAAAAATACCCGCCAACGTAAAAAGACATTCGCTCTTCAGAATCATCTGCTTCTCATTTAGACCAAATCCAAAGATATTGTCAATACAAATTAGCCCTAGTTTGTTTTGATAGCTTGTTCTTGAAACAAAATGACAAAAAACTAGCAACGAAGTAGAGAAAGCTGAAAAGGATCCCAATTTTACGTGGACTGGCAAGATACTGCACTTTTAACACGAGTATTTATCGACAACAAGGCAGCCAAGATGGCGAAAGGTCTTGATTGGGAGACAGTGAAAACTAAATTGGATGAAATAACCAATTCGAGCAAGATACGATGTGAATAAAATTTATCCGGATAAAACAGTTTACACTGTACCACATAGCTATCTGAACTAATTTAATCCACTTTCCTAGGTGAACTAATTTTGTCCGGATAGCCGCTCTCAAATTCGTGCGGATAGCGTGGGTCTAGTTTAAGCGCGACGCCTATCTGAATTAATTTTGGTGCGAATAAAATTTGTCCGGCACAGTGTAAACAGGGTCTAAAAGCAGGTGGGCTGAGAGGGGTTTGATCGAAAATCTTTTGAGGCCATGCCCTTTAGAATGCCGGAAAACGCCCCTTGTTGAAAATTTTGCTTCTTTCCACTCGTTTTTTTATACAGCCCGATTCAGAGAAGATAAAAATTTCAATGGAAATAGATTAACAAGATAAGACGCCAAGAAAATGAATGAAAGAGGGTTTCCATTCAAGAAGAACTGCCACTACTTAAAATCCATTAGAGTAAACTTTCCAAAGTTGCGCTAACCTTTTATTGCAAAAAAGTGGGGGGCTATAGCCCCTGCTAGCCCAATGGCTACGAATGCCTGGTTGCAAGTGACTTGGCCTTTGCCAAGGACGCCTGCGCCAGGTAGGCAGTGGCCCCCTTGCCTCGCAAAATCGATCAGTTTTTTCATTTTCCTATTGTTTTGCTCTTTTCTTGGTGCTTGCCAGCGATGTCCTCTTCGAGTGCAGGCTTCCTTGGCCTTTGCACCTGTACTTTGACCGCTATGAAGGAGGCAAAGTTACAAAAGGCGTTACCACGTTGAGATTGTCGGTCCTAAGGTCAAGGTTGAGTTCAACAGGAACAGTGAATTGCTGTTTATTAAGCAACCAGTTGGCTTTGCATCATGTCTAAAGAACAATTTGAAATAAAACACACATATTACTTCGATGCTGACGAGTTTGAGCGTAGTATCGTGCTCACAGACGACGAAATTGGACATGGGTACGGTGCCGCCAAGCCACACGACGAGGCTAAGAAGCCATCACCATGCCTCTCCAAGTTCGCGAGCTTTTTGAATGCTTATATTCTGCCGATAGGCCTTTTGGTTTTCGTAACTTTTGGAGCCCTTGTTCCCCAGCCAGGTGTCGCAATAGCTTGCCAAGGGACAAATTACTTTTGCGTTATTGGCATATTCTTTTACAGTGGTCTGTTCTTGAGGACTGAGGAAATGAAGGCAGCCATTAAGGCCTATCGAGCTTCAATTTGGGGTGCTATTTCTATATTATTCATAACATCATTAATCGGCTCGCAATTAACAGTATTGCTGACATTTGACGAACCAAGTATATTTCACAACAGCACAAAGGAAGGTGGGCCGGACAATGCTCTTTTTGGCTCAAGCGAATTCAAAACTGGCTTTCAGTTGTTTTTCATTGTCCCCTGCACAATATCAAGTGGAGTTTTAATGGTAAGTGCGGAAGTGCTGTAAGCTTTAAATGTCCCAATTTACCTTTATTCAGTAAGCTGATTAGCATTCAGGGAGTGACGTAAATTGTTATAATTATTTGGAAAATTAAATCATCTCCGTTTCAACTTTATTCAAAATGCTTCTGAATCTTTCAATTTTTAAATAGCCAAATATGTAAAATACAGGATATACTCTTTGCTTAGGCAATAAGATCTCCTACCTGATGCAGATAATTTCTAGCATTTTACGAACAACTACCAGGTGTTTTGAATATGTTGTTAATTTTTATGAAAAAATGGCGATGGCTCAAAACTGAAATTGCTTTATATTTTCTCTCGATAAGATAAACTTTTCTAACTGCACACAGCTGGAGTTACTAGTTAATAAGTGTGTTGAAGAAATAATTGTTGATTGACGTGAGTGAGAAGGAATGAGTGAAGTACTAAGCAAAGCAACTATCACATTTAACTAGGAACAACTTTTTTATAAAGGTCGTGAGTAAGATAAACAAAAACCAACTGAAAGTAAGTGACTGGCAATATGCGTACTGAGCATAGAAATATTCGCAAGAGCAAAAGCTGCCGGTGTGGATGAGCTTTAAATGGTATTGATCTGTCCAATAAATTTGTGAATAGAGAATTCCTCCAAGGCCTGAGAGGGGGCGGGAGGGGGTATTAGGGTATCAACTACCCATGACTGCTAAATCTTAAGTTTTCTAGATAGTTGAAATTTAGGGGGGGGGAGGGTTTAACGTTTTTCTTAAAAAATATTGCCCTGGATTTTATGACATCTCTCGGCTGGGGGGATAGTTATAGATTTTATGATTTTTTTATGAATTTAGATTTTATAGATTTTTTTCTTCAATTTGGAGAAAAACCATCATATAGAGGGAAGCGGGCTTTTATCTTTGATTGTGCTACTTTCACAATAACATGGCAATCGTAGCATATGCAACTACTTTGTTACGTTATTGTTAAATCTCGTCTGGGAATACTTTTACACCTTGAAAATCGATAAAACTGCCTTTGAATTCGGCGACTTTGACTTCATCCTTCTTTAGAAATCTTCAAAACATGTTTTTTGAAATTTGAATTTCCCCCGCATATTTCGTTTTGAACGTGCAATGTTCATATTAGACCCCGTTTACACTGTGCCGGATAAAATTTATCCGCATAAAATTTGTTCGGATTGATTTGCGTTTACACTGCACAAATTTTGTCCACTTTGCCCTCCCGTTTACACTGTGCCGGATAACTACAGTCACGTGACCTGAATCATTCACAGAGCGCTCAAAACGAGGTCATCTCTAGGCAACCGATTTTTTCAATAACACCATAATTCCCGCCAAAACGCCAAAGGTGCAAAGACTTTTCCGTCATTCTTCAGAATCAACTGCTTTGCGTTCAGACAAAGCCCGAGGAAATTGTCAAAGCACATTAGGCCAATATAGTTTAAATAATTCTTTGTTTGAAATAACACCTCACAGAAATGGCAAACAAAGTAGGGAAAGCTGAAAAGGACGCAAATTTCACATGGACTGACGAAGAGACATCACTTTTGATACAAGTAGTTATCGACTATAAGGCAGCAAAGGGATATTTTTCCAAAAAGTCACTAAATGAGAACTGTAACAATGGAAGCAATCAACGCAGGATGAAAATTTGACGCGCGCAAAGATGGTAACTTGAAGTTTTCTTGAAGGGCCTAAAAACTAAGGCTCTATTATAGAAAATAGATTTTCAAGTTCCTTTTAATTTTGGCTACCTCTAATTTTCGCCCAATCAAATATTTCCATAATTGACCCTCTTTAATTCCCGCCCCCCTCCGGGGCGAAAATTAAAGGCAGGCGAAATTTGAAGGGACTAAGGTATCCGAAAGCTGATTCTGGAGTTAATCGTGATGAATATCCCAATTGTGAAATTCCAGATAAAATAAACAAAGCAACACGATTCTGTTTACGAGAAATGAGATTTGGCGCCACCTCGCGCCACCTTCTTTCTCTTTATTGAAAGAGCCTCGCTTTAAATCAAAATCAACCTCGCAGCGGATGTGGATAAAATTTATCCGGATAAAACCGTTTACACTGTACCACATAGCTATCTGAACTAATTTAATCCACTTATCTAAGTGAACTGATTTTGTCCGGATAGCCGCTCTCAAATTTGTGCGGAAAGCGTGGGTCTAGTGTGAACGGGAGCCCTATCTGAACTAATTTTGATGCGGATAAACTAGGCTAAGGAAATGAAGCTTCATTCAATCGTGGCAAAAATATCCCGGTTCTCTTCATGAATTTAGAAGGAATCAGACAATCTACAACAAAATGATTACTCCAAATTTGTCCTGCAAACTTTAATTACGTTTTTAGCTCATAATTTACATCAGTAAAGTAGGGTTTTTAGTGTCATTTCGGGCAATTTCTTTAAACGCCTCACTGTGTATGCGTATAAAAATTTATCCGGATAAAACTGTTTACACTCCCCTTTGCCGGATAGTTCTCTATCCGGACAAAAATTTGTTCGCTTTCGTAGCTGGATAAATATTTGTACATCAAAGTGGATAAATATCTACACGGATAAAATTCGCTCGTGTAGACGGAGAGCCTATCCGCATAAATTTTTATCCGGATGAAAATTTATCCGGATAAAACACTCTAGTGTAAACGGGGTCTGTGAGTTGTGGTATCCTAACCGTAAAAGTGGCCTTTGTTTTTTGTATTGCCATCCTTTATCCAAATAAATACGGTGATAAGACTGAAGAAAGAACCTTAATTATTCGTTTTCTTTCATAAAACATCCAAAAATGCAAACGCTTCGCAAGATGAACACGGATACAAAAAACTGCTTTATTCCATATTGGTTTTCCTATTGAACGCAGGTTGTTGCACCCAAACAACTTTCGCAAACTGACGTGTTGCCACGCGGGACGTCCCTTGTGACACAGCCTCTTTAATAGAAATCTAAGATGCTTGCTTAGCCTCATTTGAGAGGCTATTCCAGCTGTTTTCATTTCTGAATGAAAAGCATTTCTTGTCCACATATCTTATATTTCGATGAGTATCTTGAGATCCTTCTTTTAGATCGTCTCGCAAATGACACATTTTTCCACTTTCAGCACTATACTTTTTTCTTATATTTCATAAATATTATGAAGTTTCTTCTATGAAAATAATATTATGAAGTGTAAAAATGTCCAATTTTTAGGTCAACCAACTTGGTGGTAATTATGCCTTGGCTGTGCTGTTGACTGTTGTGTGTAACGTGGTTGGTATTTTTACAGTGCCTCCTATGCTGAGCTGGCTTCTTGCGTCAAAAACAGAAGTCAAACTGGACATTGTGGCCATGTTGGTAAAAATGCTACTCACCCTTCTCCTTCCACTGCTGGTAAGTCCAGTCTTTGATTTAAAAGTTAGCTTATGATTGGTATAATCTATTTATTTTTAATTCATCTAACTACTTGCGTCAGAATATGTCATGACATTGTTATGAGATGGGTGTGAGCTTCGAGAAAACTATCCCTTAAAGCAAGTGATTCCCCGTACTGAACCTTAACGCAGCTTGCTTTTTGCAGACGTTCAAAATGGAGAAAGTAGACATATTTTGAATAAGGAAGTAACGCAGGGAAGGCGCTCTGTGGGATTTTATGAATCTTGCAGCATGTGTTTAGATGTACAGGAACAAAGTAAAACGATGAAGAGAATCAAATATGTTGAAAAATCAAATTTTGACCCCGTTTTACACTACAGAAAGAAGAAAGGAACTCAATCAAATGTTATGAGGCAGAATGTGAGTGATGTGGACAAAGCTGTGCGTCGAGGCTTTTGATGCCAGAAAATTGATTAAGGAAACAGTAAAAAAACTAGAAATTCCCTTTTGCTGATAAAACTGATATTCCTTGAAGGCCAGGTTCATTCCAGAATGTTTGTTTTTTTAAAGCCATTTAATGTGTTTATTATAATACCAAGCACTAAAATTTGTAGAGACAGATCCATCTTCCTTTATGCACTCGAATGAACTACCTGGTCGCAGGGGCGAAACTACTGGGGGGTATGGGGGGGGTGCTGCACCCCTCCAACCTTCAAAAAAGCATATTTTGTCGGGCAAATTTATGGCTGCCAGTATATGTATCTGTCGGGCAAATCTGGAAATTTTCTTTAGGTCGCACTTTTATTGCTACTTTTTGCCCTAGCTTGGTTTTTAATTCATGGTCTTTTCCCCCATCTTGTTTTCAATCTCAGAAACGAGGCTAGGAACAGCAACATATATACATTTCTGTCTTTCGTCCACCGATCAGCGCTTTCGTCTCGAGCTCGACGCGCACATGTTTATCTTCGCTTCGAGATGAAGTCTGAAGTATTGATCGATAGCGAAAGTATAGACGGAAAGTAAAGTGTGTTTGATGCGAGAAGGAAATGAACACTGTGCATACCCCTCCCCCCTACTTTTTGCAAAACAAGAGAGCTTTTTTTCAAAATCTTTTGTTGCGATTTCTAAATTTTCTTTTGACAAACCCCCGCCCCACCTCTAGATCTTGGTCTTTGCTTTTGTTTGATGTAGCAGCTTCGACTTTACGTTTTTTCAGCACTTTTCAGTCCTTTTCGTGAGCAAAATTACACGTGTGTGGCAAATCGCACATGTAAACAGATTTGCGCGTGCGATCGCACTTGTAAGAAAATTTGAAGTACAAACCTGATAAAATTGGTAAAAGGAGCAAGAAGGGAAAAGCCACTCGAATACGTGCAAGAGCAAAACTCAATTAATCAATACATAACAGATTTTGTTGCCCTTAGCAGCCATCTTTTAAAAGTCGTCGTCACTCTCCAAAGTTACAAGAGCAAGTAAAACTTGTTTCCAACAGCTACTTGCTTTCAGGGCCTAATTACGTTTTGACAGGAAATCAGTTATTACACTTAACATGCTAATGGCGACTTAGCTTAAAGACGAGACGCTAAGTTGAATGGAGCACTCAGTCAAAAGCCAAACATCACTTCCGAAAATTGGAAAAATCATATTGTGGTCAAAAGTGCGAATCAAGTAACAAGGGAAAGGATAAACAATCATGAGACCATGGGAAATTGATGTTTAAGGGCCTCTCCAGCAAAAAAAATTTTTTTTATGACTTAAAAGTTAGCATCTGGTGCGTGTATTATGACAAAGTCATTGTTTTTGCAAAATTCCAATTAGTTTAGAAGTTGTAAGGCTTTAAAGTTGCACCTTTCCGAGAAAAAAACGACAAAAGCCGAATCAGTTTGGTGACATTCTGACGTCACAATGTGCGGCTCTCGTTCGCCATGAATTTCGTATATCTTCCACCGAAGCGTGAAGGACTCATGGTCACGCGTTGATAACTGCATCCAGTTCCAGTTCCTGTTCCAGCTCTTCCCTCGCGTATAATTAATCGAAATTGTCACTTCAGTTGTTCTTCAGAAACGATGAACAACTAAAGGCTTCAGAATTGGTGTCTGAAATGCTCAAACTGAAAGCTGGTGGAACAGAACTGAGAGTACCATCACTTGCAGTGTTCAATTTGCGAATCGCCGTCGTTCGATTCGGTTTGAGGCGAGACTATCCGAAATACACTGTGACGTCAAAATTGCGTCACAGTGTCACCAAACCAACAATTTTTGTCGGTTAATTCAATTCAATTATCGAAATGCAAGAGCTTATATCTCACAAACTGTAAAAAAATATCGAAAAACAAATAACGAATTCGTGATCAGCAGGCTCAACTTCTTTATAAAAATTGCCAATAAAATGCAAGTGCAAAATTTGGCTGGAGAGGCCCTTTAACAGAAAACTGCCAAAACACCTGTTTGCGCGTGTGGTCAAAAGCACGCGCAATTTAACTTGCGCGTGTGCAGGCGTGTGCGGGTGCGATCGCACGCGCTAAACGAAAAGGACTGACTTTTGCTCGCACCAGATTCATAAACACGCTTGGGATTGACACGTTGAGGAAATCAATTAGACTTTAGATATCCTGGATGTCCTTATAAATTAATACAAAACTTTTATAACGACAAGGTCCTGTTCACACGATACCGGATTCATTTCGTATCGGATTGGGTCAGTGAATCCAAAGGCGCCGGAAGTTCGGAAATGATGCAGCGGGGGCAGGACCGGCAGAATTTACACCTTGGGGTATCAAAGCAGAGTCCAGAAAAGTTGTTAACCTTCCTCCAGACAAAAACATCCCAGAAGGCAAACTTTCCTCACAAAACAATAGAAAGTGGGCGTGGCTTGGGTGTGTCATAGGAGCTTCTGTTGTTTTTCGTGGACATTTCTCCGGTCAGTGGCCGTGCGACCGTAATGTTTTCCTGAATCTGTGTCAAAGTTTGCTGATGAAACAGATCGGGAATCGTCGTTTAGCTAATGACGAAGCCTGGTTGTAGGTGAAGGCCCTGTCAAGGGAGAGAGGGTCGGTGTTCTGGGTGCCTAGTCCCTAAGAAAATGTTGCGTTGCTGCACCCTAAAGACTCTCGGAAATGAAGGCAGCACCAACAAAAAATACTTTGAACCAAGACTACAGTCTTACTTCATTCTCGAAACTCCTTTCACTCCAACATCAACCATCAAGAGAGGTTGGACCCAATCGTACTTTACATTAAAACAATATTTTGTTCTGATGCCCATTTACATGGCTTGGTATAACTTTTGGATATAACTCCTCTGAACTTACTGTTGTTTTCTTTCTCTATTTAAAGTTGGTACAATCTGCAGCTATATTCAAGCTAAATAATGCCAACTGATTTAAATTAACAACGTTAAAAAAATTTAAATCATATATAAATGATGTTGCATACGTATTTCTTGTAAAGATCACAAGCATTGAACGATGAAAATTCTGGGATTTTTTCTCTAATTTTTGTGAAGTTGGGGAGTATTTATTTCGTTTTGAGCTGAGTTCCATATTTGGCTCGATCTGTTTGACAAAGCTCGATCTGTTTGATCTTGAGAGCATAAGGAATCATATGATTTTATTATTGTTAAAAAGGTTTTCACATAAAGCCATGCTACGATGGTGTAGATATCATTTTCTGGCTTAGTTGTATGTAGTGCTGCCGAGAGGATTCGGAGGTCCTTTGCGAAAGTAACGAAAATATTTTTGGTGGTCAAATTGTTTTGCAAATCGTCTTGTTGCCCCTTCAGGGCCCAAATGTTTGGGGCCCTTAGTTTTATGCTTAATGGTACACACCACCGTGCTTTACGCTACTGGTGGAATTCTTTTAGTCTAAAAGAAAGGGAAATTCACCTAAGCCTAACTAAATCAACGAACTTTTTCTAGATAATCAATTAATATCCTGAGAGGTCATTTTGACTTTTCAAAGCCAGCCTGCCATGTATGGAAAAATTGTGTCCGGTATAGAAAAATTGTCCGGTTTGAAAATTGTCCGGTATGCAAAAATGCCCGGTTTTTTTTAATTTTGAGACACGACGTAGCCTATTTTAGACCCCATTGTTTATCAATTCTCTAAATCTGTAAGGATAAAGCAGTAAATTCTGCCCATTAACAGGATTTCTAACTTTAAAGTTGCAAAAATTGATGAGCAATAACGCCAAAAGTATTGAGTGTTTAACACAGTGATAAATCATATTCTTTTTTTGTTTACTGAATGTTAGGACTCCCACTGTTAATTCAAACTCTCCCGTTCGTAAAATCCACAACACTGATGTTTTGAAGACATTTCTACGCGTCGACATTGCTGATTATCCCAGTATCCCAACTTTTGTTGTCACAGCGAACTTTTGTCACTGATTTTCTAGTTCTTGAAGTAAACCTGCATGGACGTTTTGATTTTTTGGATTCAAAGAAGGATCGGTTTACTATTTTACTATTTGGGCACAGGCTTATGTCAGGCAATGAAATTTTGGTTCCAAAAATTCCTTCAAGTACTGGATGGCTGTAATTCAGCCCCTGTTGATTTTAATGCATGGCTGGTACTTCCTACATGCACATTAAGAAACAGTAAAAGACACTTGGTATAAGTGACATAACCGTCATACGAGGACTGTCTTCTGCCGACAGTCTGATTACTTGTGTAGACGCAAGAAGTTCATTTTCTCCCTCGGATTCTTTAACTATTTAGAGGATTGTTTCAAAAGACAAGAGTCTCGTGTAGTTCTTTGAACATATTATAAGTTATATGAGCACGTAAAGCCGCAAGAATCCCAGTTATCACTGGCGTAATTTTCGAATTTCAATATGTTACGCCAGTGACATAGAATAAGATTGGCTGTGAAGTCTTATAAATATTTTCTCACAGGCAAAGGTGTCTTTGCCAACTTAAAAGTTTCAAATAATTATGGTTTTAGCGGTTGATTGCTTCAAAAGAGTTAAGGACTTGTACTTCCAGATAAATAACACATAACATTGTATATTATCCCACGTCTTAGGGAATTCCATACAAAAGAAACAGTAGAAAGATATACATCTCATTTTCACTGAGTGGTTTATGACCATAAATTACGTCAAAGCATTCTTATTCAAATTAAAACTTTACCTAAATTAATATCTGATCAAAGGATCCACGCAGCACAGCTCAATACAAACGTTTTATTTATCTATTATGAAGTTAAGTCAGTCACTTCTATAGAAGATTATGCGAATCATGTTAAACTTTCAAGGAAAAAAGTAGAATTTGTTGTTATGTATATCAGCCTTTGCCATGTCTGTTGTAATTTTCTTGAAATTTTATGTAGGAAGCAAATAGGAAGGGGAAGGCTTTTAAATATCCACAAAAGGTTGCAAATACATTGAAATAATCACAGAATGGAACAAATACTTAACCAAAAATTCAGTCTGTGTGGATTTAATTTTATTTTGTATGGGTTTCGTTCAAGGTAGGGTGTAAGGTGTTCGCATGTAAAGTTCGAAAGTTTTCAGTTTATTTTCTTTTTCTTTTTACTATGTTTAGGTCTCAATGAAATTGTCCTTGGAATTTTTAACAAAACATTTTCTTGCATTCCTGACAGTTTTTCGACCAACAATGCCAAGAAGCCCATATCTTTTCTTTTCTTTTTGCTACGATAGCTTGTTTAGAAACGCCTAAACATAAATAACAATTAAAGTATTTTGAACAGCAAAGGACACAGACATGTTGGCAAATGTGCTCAATGTGTAACATACCACTAATTGCATTGTATCGCTTCCGTACACAGGTGGGCAAGGCTTTGCAGTACATCAAGCCGTTTTATGCGTTTTGCAAGAAGATCAAGCCCGTACTGCGCATCATTAGTATCTTCCTTTTGATTTGTCTTGCATTCATGAAGATCAGTCAGGCAAGCGATGCAGGAAGTCTTGACAAGGTGTCTGCTGTCAATATTGTTTTATTCATATGCTGGTCGTGGACTGTCCACTCGGTTTATCTTATTCTAAATGGCCTAGCGAGCTTTGTTTTACGACTTGGCGTGGAAGAGGCAAAATGTATTGTTATTCTCGCAAGTCAAAAGTCTGTGGCTATCGGTATTGCAATTGTCGGCTACCTTCCTGCCGAATTCGGAGACCAGGGATTGATGGCAATACCTTTGGTTTTGTCGCATTTGTCCATGATTCTCTTCGACGCATGCGTAATCTCGATTTGGTTGAAGATCAGTCCTATGGAAGAGGAGGAAGATGAAGAAAAGCCGCTTCTCAAACATGCAATAATTTCTGGTTACACAGAACCGGATGGGTCCATAAATCCAGCTTTTCAAGAGGATGAAGATCCTCAACCAAAAGTGTAAACATTTTTTAAGAATTTTCCAGAATTGTGAGGAACAACTCTTTGGAATATAACTGTTTAGGCCCATTAGCTTATTGCAATGTGATTTTTGGAATTCAATAAAACACAGTGATTACTTTTTCGATCTTGACTTTTGCTATTGTATTTGTTGCTGGTGTGATGCTTTTGGAGAACTATATTCTCCTTTATATTTTATACTTGCAGAAGGATTGACATCAGTGCTACACCCTGCCTTTCAAATTGACTGACTCCTATTTGTAATTTAATTGTAGCCAGTCAGGCCTCAACAAGTGCAGGGCTCAACAATGAGAAATTTTAGCATGTGATGGTTGAATATTAAGAAAAACGAGTGAAGAGTCGTTCAAATCGAGTAAAGGTAGCAGGATGTTGTCCCTGGAATGTTAAAATTTATTGGTGACATAAAGTCAACCAAAAATGGCAGATTTTGTGTTTATTGTAAAGTATTCTTCTGTTTTTTAGTTGGTTAGTTAGTTTTAGAGATTAAGCTACTTTAAATTGGGATTACCATGTTTATACTGCCATTTCATGTTTGTATCCCATGACAGTATCTTGTCAATGCATGTCAAGGCGTTGCGGCGATCAATATATTGGAAGAGCAAGGTGGGAAATCAACAACAGGGACCAGAATGGCCAGTGTACAATCACTGCCAAAATTACTTGGAACACCTAACACTTTGGGCTGTGCTTTTCTATTTTTCATTTGTTTTCTTGAATACTACCACTTCCGCCCCCCTTTCCCCCCAAAACAATGTTGAAAGTATAGAAAAATATCAAACAATCCACAAGAAAAAGCGTACTCCATAACCCCTCTCTTTTTACTAAAGTAAATCAACATTGTTCCTAGGGGGAGAGGGGGATGGCTGAATTTGCCTTTGAAAACCTACGTTAGTGTTCCAACACTTTTGGCAGTGATTGTAGGTTGGAAGTTGTTTATCAAGACAATTGTTTCGAGCATGTCACTATCAGGTTTTTACTAACCAGGAAGATTCTAGAAATTATTTGCATGAAATATTAAGGAAGATAAGAAGTATCAAATTTGATTAGACTTTTCGATTTTACTGTTTAGGTTAAAGGTGTAGTGTTTTCAGGATTTATCAAACTAATTCTAGGAATGAAATGTCTTGTCACTGCTTCACAATGTCGTTTGTCTGATTTAAATGAATGCTGAACATTGCAATGCTATATTGTATAATCTGACTTTTAATCATAACATTCTTGTCATAATATTATGTGAATAATAGCTAGGTCTACTTTCTAATACGTATATTTTAGAATGTTTCTATTTTTGCAACTTTTGTGTTGATTTGTACACATCTTTGGGCCGATTGTGCCGTGGCAGAGAATGGCAGAGCTTGCAACTTACGTCATAACTACTTCGTAAATATTACTGAAAGCCTCAATATAGCCCGACTTTTATCTGATAATCTGCAACAGACGTCTGACGAAAGGACAGCGTCGTCACTATTAGATCAATTGAAATGCTTTGTAAACCACCGTAGTATTTTAAAAATCAAGAAAACGTTTGATCAATTTTCTAAGTTTAACTTTGAAAATGTAACTTCCAAGGAGGTAAGTGAGATAATTTACAACCTAAAGGAAGACAAATCAACAGGAGCCGATAACATCACCCCAAAAGTTCTTAGAATGGCAATAGACGTTGTCTCTGGACCACTAGCTGAAATATTCAATCGATCTATTTCTGATAAAACGTTTCCCTTTCTAATGAAAATGACTAATGTGTGCCCTATTTCCAAAAAAGGAGATTCAACTAGTAAAGAGAATTATAGACCAATAAGTGTGCTCCCCTCAGCTTCAAAGGTATTTGAGAGAATAATGTTAAATCAAACCTACAATTACATCATTGTTAAACTGTTCCCTTTGCTTTGTGGATTCAGAAAAGGTTATAGCACACAACATGCTTTATTACGACTTATTGAAGGTCTGAAAAAGTGCCTGGATAAAAAAGATGTGGCTGGTGCAGTGCTCATGGATTCATCAAAAGCATTTGATTGTTTACCCCATATACTTCTACTAGCCAAATTGAAATCTTATGGCTTCAGCGACAACGCAATGGAATTTATGTATAGTTATCTAGATAAAAGAGTACAACGAGTAAAAATAAACTCAGATTTTAGTGATTGGATGGAAACAAAGCAAGGAGTTCCTCAAGGATCAATCTTAGGCCCGTTGCTTTTCAATATTTACATAAATGATATTTTTCTGCATTTGAAAAAAAGCAACATATGCAACTATGCAGATGATAATACAATTTGGATGTCAAGTACTGATATGAATAAACTAACTGAATACTTAGAATCGGAAGCCGCTATTCTTAATAAATGGTTTTATGAAAATTCCTTGGTGCTCAATGGCGATAAAAGCAAGCTTATAACATTTAAAGCCAATCGATCCAATTTAGAGGAATCTAAAATTCAAATAAATGGTTCTAATATAATAGAAAGTAAGAATATTAAACTTTTGGGAGTAACACTAGACCATCAACTTAGATTAGAAGAACATATTAAAGTTTTTTGTAAAGAAGCTGGGAAAAAGGTAAACGCTCTAGCCAGGATTGCTTCGTAAATGGACAAATCTAAGCGAATTCTTTTAATGAAAACGTTCATATTATCATATTTTAATTATTGTCCTCTTATTTGGATGTTTTGCAGTAGGAAAAGTAATAACCGGATAAACCGGATCAGGCGCGCAACTACAGGGGGGGTCCTGGGGGTCCAGACCCCTGCCCTTTTTCTCAAAGGAGGAAAAGTGTCCTTCTTTTGAAAAAAATGCTTGAATATTTTTTTGATCACACTAAAGAGAATCTTCATTAATGACACATCCCCGCGATATAATGAACCTCTAAGAAATACAGATAAATGATTTGTCAGACTTTCACGCAGTAATAGAGTCCATGTTGAAGCTCCTACTCTACAGCGTGTTTTATGATGCGCTACGCACTGGTTTTGAAGAAGAATTGTTCTGGGACTCAAAAACCAAAATAAAGGCACAATACTTTGAATGGGATAGGCCCCTATGACTACTGGTAAAAAAGTCAGAAGAAAGAAACCAAGACATCTTTCTGTCTGTTTCAATGGCCCATATAATTGAAAGATTCGTAGAGGGCCTTTGCATGAAACAAGCGAATGTAGAGAAATATTCGCGGACTGGTATGTTCAGCTGTATTATAACTCAGGGACCTGTTAAACCTCCTCCTATCTGAAATGCAAAGCATATGATTCAATGTTCTTAAGGCTGTTCATATTTTAAAGAGCAAATTGTTTTCGGATATGGAGACTAAAGGACTGATTTTTACAAATGAGCTGCGGCCGAGAGAGGGCAAGGGGGCAAATTGCCCTCTGGCCGCGAGGTCTAGGGGGCCTCATAAAGCAATTAATTCTGTTTTAATATGGAATTAAATAAAAGCAAAAAAAATACACTTAAAAAGTAAACATTTTGAACGAATGAATTAATTCAAGCTATTCATAAGGGCGTGGTCACAAAATTTTGTTGCTCATTTCGCTCGCAAGAGGTCTTTTATTCCCCCTCTCGGGTCTCCAGAACCTCTCGGCGACCCCGGGTTTTAGACAGAAAGGAGAAGTCCGCTGAGATTTGAGAAAATAGACGAAGGAATAAAATACAGATTCATAGATCACAATTTTTGGTCAGTTTTCTTTGTCTGGCGCACAATATTTACAGGTATACTAACTGCTCATATTTTTGGTGTACCTAAACAAATGCCCCGATGGACCTTCGGCGTACATGAAATGCACCCTGTCATCTCTTCTGTTGAACGTGAAAAAAGTTTCCTTAGTGCACTTTTTTGTCTTGGACCCCTGCCATCTAAAATTCCTGGTTGCGCGCCTGCGGATTCATGAAAGAGCAATCAGAATCAGGGGCGGACTGGCTAATTTTTTTGGCCCGGGCAAATTTCGATCAAACCTGCCCACAAGAATAGCAATTAAAAAACTCCTCGGAAAATGCAAGTAAATGTTAGTCTGTAAGGAAAACAAGATTTCAAAATTCAGTAATTGTGTGCATGGATGAATGCTGGTTAACAGAACATGTTAAATATGTCATTTGCTGACTAAATAGTAAATAAACAAAAATTTTAACTCATTGGTTTGACTTTCTTTCTAAATACAGTAGCTTATATGTTGATAATGTGATCGTTCTAGATGTCATCTAACAGGTGTTTTTTTAAGAACATTAACATTAAGGACTCCAGGTTTGGCTGCGAAAAATTACCACGTAATCTGTTTTTTATATATTTAAAGTGGAAAAACTTCTATCACATTCAACTTGTGACAAATAATTTTCTAATCCTCCTGAAAACCACAATGATTTTCAGCAGCCCAAAAATATCGATTTGTCAATTTCTGACCCCAAAAAGAAAACATGGGCACCCCTGTTGAAATTTTATCGTGTAGCACCATACCCCTGTTGGGCGGGGGTCCATTTCACTTATGATAGTATATGCCTAATAAATTTACCATAACTTGTATGAGTTTATTGAAAGGAGCAAGAGCAAGACCCTGCTGTTTTTGTGACGTTTGTGGCTTTTGCTTGATAAAAAAAGCTTTGTATCGCAGCTTTTCCTCACGAAATTTCTGTGCACCACCTTTGTTTGAAGTCTTCTTGCTCTTCTCTTGTTCTACGTATGTCCTCTTCATTGCTTCACATCACAGAGCAAATCGCTTAGTGGACTCTAATTTTTGGACTTTTAAATTTATTACATTTAGCAATAGCTTCTGCTTAGGAAAAAACATGACCAGCTGTCGCCAAAAAGGAAATACCGTCAAGAGAAAATATAACAATATGTCAATAACATGTTCCCTGAAGAAGTGTGTTTGGGCTGCGGTGACAATAATGAATTCACAATTTTCATGGTTTTGGAGTACTCGCGTGTATATTTATTCTTTCCCACAAAGTCTCTGAAAATTCAAGGCAAACAGATCAACGCGTGGGTATACTTTTTTGCCTTGCATTCTCTTTTTAAGCTAATTTATTATTTTGCACTTTCATCAACCGGCCCTCCTACCGACCGGCCCTTCGGGCGATCGCCCGAATAGCCCGACCAGCCAGTCTGCCCCTGATGAGAATAGCTCATGATGATTATGAATCAACTTTTGAACAACTTTTAATTAAGAATAAAACAATAACTTCTCATAAGAAAAATTTACAGTATCTTGCGATAGAAATTTACAAAACATTTAACGAATTGAATCCACCTTTTATTGATGAAATATTTTCCATAAATGAATGCCCATATTACTTAAGAAACTCCCAATTGAAAACAGCGGAGCCATATTACAAAATATATGGATTTAATACCGTATCATACAGATGTAGCCAAATATGGAACTCAGTTCCAAATGAGATAAAGTACTCCCCTACTTTATAAATATTCAAGAAAAAAATCTCAGAATTTACATCGTTTAATTGTACTTGTAATCTTTGCAAGGAATATTTTAGCAACATCGGTTATATTTGATTTATATTATATTTAGCGTTGGTAATCTAAATTAGTTGGTTTTAATTAGCATGTATGCATAGCTAGAAATTGTACCAACTTTAAATAAAGAAAGAAAAAAACAATACTTATAAGCCAATAGCTGCTTAGAACGAGACCTTTCAATTTGTCACTGGACTGTGACGTTTCAGACAGCACTATTCTTTTGTCCTTATTGCAGGGGTCTGTTCTTACAGCGAGAATATGTAAACAAATTACTTCAAAATTTAGAATACGACAGCGAAACTTGGAATAAATTGCAATTGCGCTGTATTTTGCAGTTATCTAGCAACACTAATAGAAGTGAACTGACGTAAACCGTTCTCTTGTGAAAACCCAAGAAAAAATTTCAATAGACAGAGTGATCTCAGTTTCAAGTCGTTTTTAAGAATATTGTCCCCCCGGCGGTTGCAGTGTTATGTAAAAAGTTATACCACCCGTGTCCGTATAATCACCGAGAAAGGGTATTTAATGAGCAAAAATTTGTGCATGATCAGTCAGAAAATATTCAAAGAGAGGTAAATTTAAATAAATTTTAAAATCACAAAGCAACTGTTACAAGTATAACATATGTTGCATAATTGTTTAATGAGTAATATATAGGCGGAATAAAAGTACTTATTATAAAAGCAATAAAAGTAGCAAGCTGAAAAGGTGAATAACTACATGAAACTGTTTGTAGAAATAAGGTTTGGCCGCACAACCTATTTACGCACAGTTTTAAAAAAATTGCATATTTTAACGTTGTGCTTTAGACAGTCATGTGATATTTCCTATCGTAATGTATACTGATCAAGAATTCCCAATAAAGTTGCTATAGAAGTTGATGGTAGCCTGGACTTGCCAAGTTGGCATGATTTTCACAACAATTTAGTCATAGCGGAGGAAAAGAAACTAACGCAATTGATAAGAACTAATCAAATTAAGCATTTAAAAATAAATTAATAATTGTGAATTGAATGCCTAGGCAAGTATCAACACGGCAGGTAAATATCATGAAAAAATTGGGCTGGTTAATTGGATAGTGGATTGTCTAAAATGTTGTGCTTCTAGAAAATGATTTCTCCTTTCATGCTTCGTCCTCTCAAAACTAAATCCAAAGGGTCTTAAAAAATGCCAAATTAAAATTTTTAAGTTTTTGTTGTTGAATGTGATCAGTCAGTTGACATCAACTAGGCAAATTTGTTATACCTCTTCATTTGGCCTGAAAACTATTTTATTATACCTCTTCATTTGGCCTGAAAACCATTTTATTATACCTCATTTTATTTGTTATACCTCTTCATTTGGCCTGAAAACTATTTTATTATACCTCTTCATTTGGCCTGAAAACCATTTTATTATACCTTTTCATTTGACCTGAAAACCACTTTATTATACATTAACGACAAAATAATTTCGTCAGATAAATTTTCGGCGAATAACCTTCGTTGAAAAAATCTTCGGACAATTTTTCAAAATTTCGTCGTGACAAAATTTTGTCGATGATTTTAACAGGCAAGAGGTAATGGTGATGATCATGATGCTTACGACAAAGATAATTATGAAGACGATGTAAATGAGGAGAAGGGCGTAGTTGACAATGAAGAGATAACAATAATACATTAACTTGCTTCCTTACCTCGTGTATTCTTTGTGAATTCTCTATGTTTCAGTTTTTTTCAGTTTTTCTATGTTAATTCTCATAAAATTCAGATACAAAAAATTCGTCAAGATTTCGTCGTGACCAAATTTCGTCTCATTTTGAATTTCGTCGAATAAAATTTCTTCAAGATCTTCGCTGAAATTTTGTCGCGACAAAACTTTTTGTAGTTAATGTAAGTAAAATGAGAAAATAAATAGAGACAAAGTTAAGTCACAATTGTCTTTGACTGGTCTCTTGAATATCAGTTAATTTTTTGCTTTCCAAACATAGAGAAAGTCATGAGAGTAATATTGCTGGCTGTGAAATATAGACAAATTTGAACAGAGAATAGACACAGACAAAGTTCTTTGTTAAAAAACAGCTATAGTCTTATAATTGTCTTTCTTTAGTTTAATAATACAATCATTTACATAACTACAGTGTTCAGAAAAACTCCTAAAACATCTACTTTTACATAAAATTTCTTTAAAATCTGAATGTATGTTATTATAGATATCAATGTTCATAACTTTTATTGCTGATTTGTGCACAGTTCTCAATTGGAAGTGGTCAATAAGCGAGCCCTTTACTTTTAACAACAGTTGAACAAATAAAAGTTAATGTCTTTGAGCAGTTTTTAGCTTCTATAATGAGTTTAGTCTGAAACAGAAACTATAATACTGTTTGATATCAATAGTATTTTGTGGCAAATACCTCGCTGCTATTTAAAACTTGCAGTTGTTTTAAGGCTCTGTCATAAGGTTTGATAGCTTATATCAAAATGAGAAAAAGGAAAAAAATGTTTCTCGAATTTCAATATGAGTCATGAAAAGATGCTGCAAACAAACTGACAACCTTTCATGGAATAATTAAGGGATGGCACTATAGCATGATTAAATGCATCAGATTATGAAAATATAACTGCAAAGTAAATTACATTTTGGTATATCAATATCCATTTTTTAAAGCCTGGGGAAATGCACATCAAATATTTATATACAACATTAGACATGCAAAATAAATATCAGATAGCACCCACCTCAAGTCATTTTAAAAAGCAGCACATACATCAATGGTGACCTAAAAGTACTTTGGTGAAATTTAAAACAACTAGGACAAATATTTTCATCTTATCAATAACTTTTATTTCTTCATCTCATTTACATTGTATCACTGTTATAACCTGGACTTGGTGTTGGTCTGTTGTCACCTTCTAAAAGATTTGGGGCAGATCCACCATAAGCAGTGATGAAGTCATTTTGTCCAAATGAAAGCGGGTTCCATCTCAACGATCCTCTAATATTTTCAACTTCTTGATCAACATTTACCTTCATTAGCTCCTGATAGCCTGTTGTGTAAATCTCTAATGCCTTTGCATAAAACATCATTTCACTTAACAAGAAATCTCCAAATATCTGCTTAAGATCTTTGGCCTTCTGCTGATGAAACGAGGTTACTTGTTCTGTCAATATTTGTATTGATCGATTTGCTTCATCTGCAGCTTTTTGGAATTTTGTCTCTGCTTGTGCCAATTTAAAATTCTGATTTGGAGATTTGGCTTTCAGTCTTTCTAGGCTTTTGTGCTCGTTTAGTTCTTTCATATGTGCGGTTGCATGTTGCCTGAGATCTTCGCGTGCTTGTTTGCATCGTGTTTCATAAACAGAAAACTTTTGTAGAACCTTGGAGTCTAATCGTCTTACTAATGCATTTCTTAGATCCTGCACTGCAGCAAAACATTCACCAAAGGCTTCAAGACCCCCTTTGAAAACAAGAACATGGTTTTAATAGATAGTCTAGGACAATTTTTGTGAATTCCTGTTAAATATTATCATTAAAGAAATGAAAGTAAACAGGTTTTTTTAAACCAGCTTTGCTAAAAGCAGGGCTGGGAAAAAAGGTGTAGGGCAATTTGCCCCAGCACTTTTAGGAGGGGCCTACATACCAGCCAGAGTTGAATCCGTGTCAAGCCCACACTGGGTATATGCTAACAATAGGAATGTAATGGGAAACTGTTAGTCTATGCTGGATATTTAAAAAATGACAGGATTTTTAAAAAGCACTGCCCCCATAAGAGCACCACCCCCATAAGAGTGCCGCCCCCCAAATAAGCGCTGCATCAAAAATACTGGAAATTAAAAGAGTGCCACAGTGCTCACTCAAGTAAATACGGTAACAGTAAAACTTTTTAAACCTACTCTCATATTTGAATTAGGCTAGTCTCAAGAGCCTGGTCCCAGAAACTTTTGCTTGCTTTGCTTGAAAGGGGCCCAATTTTTGATTTGCTGAGGGCTTTCAAACCTCTTGACAACCATGGCAACATGTACCAATTGTTGTCATTTGAACCAATTGCTAGTCTTATTCAATTCAATCTATGTATTTTCATCAGGAACTTTCAGCTTTGACTTTTGTTAGCAAATGCATATAATATTCACTTATCAAAATGGTATTAAACGGAGCAATCTATTTTGCCTCAAAAGAACAGCCAAAAGAATCAAGCAAAGTAAGAGACTGGTTTAAAATTTCCTAAAACAAGGTTATGAATGTTTTAAAACTGAATTTGACTTTTTAGGCCCGTTCATAAATTATTCTAAATAAATGTGAATATTACTAGTCTCTAACCTTTGAGAGCAGGAGATTCTTCTGAGGCATAAGCCGTAAAGCTCTTTTGCAAGTTATCACCGGAATCTCGCAGCTTAGCAGTCCTTACGATGTATGTGTTGAAATCTTGTACTAGCTGTGGATAATGTGTTTCAATTTTTGTAATACTTTGATTAACAATTTTTGTTTGCTGCTCTCCAGCTCTCTGGGTAGATTTCAGATCACCAGTTGAGAGACTTCTTTGCTTTGTACTCGCATTTAAACTTCTCTGCCCGCCTCCATACATTTTTACAGAATACACATGAAGATTGCGAACGTTCAAACTTCAAGGGTGATGACCTAAACTTCAATTTCAAATCGAATCGAATGCTGTAGAAACAAAACATTGCTAAAGGCCTGGGTACTAAGAATGCCTTCGTGATGTCACGACAAGTCGACCGAGACTATATGCTGGCGACTGGATATGTTTTCATTTATTTTCTTGAAGAATTTGTTGTTTTCCTAGATGATACAGCTAAAACCTTTGATGAACACTGGGAATAAATATCATGAAGTAAAGAACAAAATGGCGCAATCAATATAGAAAAACCAACAAGTCAGCGAAAGCTTTAACGAATGAAGGTCAAATCAAGTTATTTAGTATATCCCAGAGGCGTTGTGGCTGCTAGAAGAGGGCCGGAAAAGTAACTACAAAGGGGCCAATACTTTCCAGAAAACCAGTTTTTTGCTATTGGTGCAAGCAAGGCAGTTGGGTAAAATGGCATAAATAGTAATGACACAACAACAGAGATGGCGCCACCAAATTGAAACTGGGGGAAGGGGGGTGGGAAGGGCTAAGAATTCAGTTTATTGGCACCATGGTTGGGTCCGACGCGAAATAAAAATTTTTAAATTAAGCCTTTTAGAATGGCCAAAAATGCATCTCCTAGACAAAAATTTAACAATTTACTATACCGCTCAGAATAGGCAACTCGACGATTCTCAGAAAGCATTGATTGTTGATGTTTAGGAAACATTTGGGAGGGGAGGAGTCAAGCTAAAACACTTATGACAGAGGCTGGGGAAAAAGGAAAGAAAGGGTGGATTTTGGTTCAAAGTGTACATCGATATGAAAAACAAGAAGCTGTTGTATTGATTAAGAGAATTTTACTTCCTGAACAGAAATGTGCATCTTCTTTATCTCGAGTATTTTCAGTAGGCCATGTTTACACATCCGAAATGCAAACAATGCAATGATACAAAATCTACCGAATTAATGCAAAAAATAGACAAATGATAGAAATGTAGAATATAAAAAGAGACGGTCAAAAATTTTCATCTCTGAAAAAGTCGGGGAGCTTCAGCCACCCCAAACACCCATGCGGCACCGTTCCTGAACAATAACACTTCTTGGAGAGTTTTTCGGTCAACTGTTGCTAAGCTGGAGATCTTTGAAAGGGCATTTCTATCACATGCAAGCAGCTCTTTGATTTTTTTAGCTTTGAGGCTAAAAATGCACCTAGATCTCCCTTTATCTCTTTGCTTTTTGGGAATCTTCTACAGACTAGAATTTCGAATTTCGGGAGAGGTTGGAATTACAAATTTCGCATTACCGTATTTCCTCTAATGAACACCGTCTTTTATTGAATGCCGCACCTTCAGCCAATTATTAAGAAAAAACGCCGCCCTCTGATAAACGCCATCCACTATTGAAAGCCGCATCTTGAAAAGCAGCGTTTATTAGAGGAAATACGGTAATGCGAAATTTGTAATTCCAACCTCTCCCGAAATTTGGCTTAAAATGTAGCTACAAAAGACATAGTCAAAGACAAAACAAATAGAAAATGTAATGTTATCGGTTAAGGCATTTATATATGAAAGAAAACTCAAGAAAAACACTAAAATCTGCCTTTGCAAGTGCTAAATTAATTTCCATAAGCTCTGGAAAAGTTGCTAAAGTTAACAAAATACACTTAGTCCAAAACTTCGAAGTCCCTAAGCTACTGTGCCCTAAGCTACAAAAACAAATGGCTTGATTCCTGTTGTTCATTAAGAGCTTGCAAAGCTGTCTAAATGCAGATCGGGTGATAAAAAAGAAACGACGGTACATGAGTAGCAGTCATGAACTCGGCTTTTTTACGTTTGCCAGTTTTTTAATGCAAGTAAAATATTTGCGATAGCATCTGCCTTATTTCTGCATATGTTTTTTCATAATTGTGAAATTATTTTGAATTTTTAGGAAAGTAAAAGGTTTAATTACAAAACATATAAGATATATCAAGATGTACAGCTCCAGTTGTGCGTTAATAGTATACTAATCTTCAACGCGAGATGATCAACACCCACCACGAATCTCGCTTTATTCTCTCCCATCCTCAATGTGACATCTGATTGGCTGGGCTCTCCGCAGCAAAAGTCACGTGAGGGCAGTGCATGTTAAGCCTCTTGATTTGTCAATGCAGAAAAACTCTACATAATAAAATACAGACCAGAAGAACAGAGCGGAATGCATTGGTTTTTTGTGTTTCCTACAAGCTTGCCGTTCCTTATGCAAACTGGTCCATGAAATAATACGCCAAATATTGCAGAACCTACCAAACTCGCGATCCCTTTTTAGGGTTCATATACAATGCCCAAAAAATGACAATGACCACTATATATAATAATTATCTGCAGTTTTTATGAAATTTTATGTGTATTTTTGCAATCATTTTGCAAATGGTCATAAAGTAAAGGAAACATAAAAATCATCAATTTTCAAAACTTGCTACTTTTGCTACCATCTAGTCTCCCGTCTGAGTTTTATCTTAAACGCAAATTTGACTAAGCAACAAATGATTACCACAGTTTCATATAGTCCATTTAGAGCTAAGGACAAAAACACTTTGAGTAAAAATCTATATCTAAGTATGGATCATAAAGGCATACACAATCAATTAATTATTCTCACTCTGTAATCCACTTTGAAAATCTATACCAAGAAAATCTAGCATTCACTTAATGTCTTTTCAACACCGCATCTTTCATTTTCCATTATGACCGCAGATTTTACTTGACTATCGTACATCGGATTCCCAAAACTATAGCCAATGTGAATTTCATCGTGGGTGTCTGGAGTGTTGTCCTCAATCTCGTCATCGATGTACCAAGTTTTCATCTGCATATCGGCTTTGATTTGATTTGACACTCGTCGTCTCATCGCTTAAAGAAAATGGTATTCTTATTAAAAATTCATTCTCTCATTCTTATTCATTCTTTAATTTTCAGTCTATTCATCCAAAAGGAGTAGGAGATTTGTCGGCAAGTAAGCCAGACAAGTTATGCTTCGCCGGGTCCTTATCTAATTCAGCTCGTTGTAGCGTCTTTCAATTCCTCGACAGCCATCAGTGACAAATTTTCTATCCACCATTCCTCTTATCAAATTTGTCAACAAAACTCCCAGATCAGGCTAATGCTATCAGACTTCGTTTGAAAGACCTTGTTCGCTCTTGGAATCATACCGTATTGGCAATTTATTTACATATAGACGCTGGTGAATACGGCATGAAAAGGTACCTGTATAGTGAAAACAACCGAATCTGATAAGATATGCCTACCGATCAAGATTTCATAGATTGTGCACATTTAGAAGAAATTTGGTTCTCCCTTCAGATCATTTGATCCAAAATTTAAAATTTCAAAAAATATGTTTGGACATCAAAATGAAGACACTCTTTTGCTTACCAATTATAATTATAATGACAACAGCAAACAAAATAATTCCAGCAATAGTGAACCCAACAATAAGCAATATTGTTTTCTTATCCATTCCTTTTTCCAAACTTTCTACAGCCGACTTTGTCCCCTTAAATGCCACAGTTGTATACGTTGTTGAATCTTTCTTCGGCATGTCACTGAAGGTTTGTGATTCAACTGGCACTTTGGTTGCATCTTGGCTAGTTGTCGTCACAGGCAAGGCAGTCGTTGTCACAGGCAAGGCAGTCGTTGTCACAGGTAAGGCAGTTGTTGTCAGTTGGTCTAAAATAGAAATGAAACAACAATGTAAATGCCAGCAACCTGCTTTACAGAGCGCTGCAAAAACCTCGAAGTTCTCGCAACTCCTCTAAGCCTAAGGTTGAAAATACTCTCAAGCAAAAAACATTCAAGATCACAAAAATTGTAAATATCTAGAAGTTTTTTTTGGCGTGGTTCATAAATTGCAGAACTATGAAAAAGCAACAGTGTTCGAAGAAGTAAAAAAAAGTAATCGCAGGCAATATTTAATCGATAAACTGATTTTGCACAATGAGATTTATCTTATGACGATTATAACTCAATAGACTTTCTGACACCTTCATTTTGCCACTTTTAAAGGTCTCTGGCCTTCTGACTGTAACTCTCCCCTTCCACGTGCTATTTGAGTAAATAATAACTTATATAATATAAAACAATAACAATATAATATTTTGTTTCATATAAGGAA